AGAACTTGGCTGTCAAAAGGATGGTTTCGCTTCAGGATTTCTCTCCATACCTTCTCCACTGCAGGCATGAAAGTCCTGCATCTAGGATTCATTCCAGCTCTGTCTGTAAAGAGTTACATAATGTTTGGCTTCCCACTCATGGGTTTGCCAAGGCATTCCAAATTATATACAAAATAAGTCCCATGAGGATAACAAAAACCAACACAACATATATAGTTACAGTAGTAATGCCAGTTGGAGAAAATATTGCAGGGTACAAAGATCGTCAAATTGCACAGAAGATGTGCTTTGTTTTTTGTGGGGAGAGGGAGTCTTGTAAAGTTTGGTTGTGGGAATAACCACTGCTTCTTGTTTTTCTTTCAGAGTAGATTTTGCTGCAGTTACAATTGGAAATTGAATACTTCTCAGCAACTACCTTACAAAGGCTGTCATTTGTCTACTTTCCACACATAATGCCTTCCCCAGAATGATGCAACATTCATTGCTCCAGGAGGATAGTGGAAGGAAACTTTATAAATCCAAGGCACTTGGACCAGTGCTCTGTCTTGTCCTGGCACCTTTCCAGTGGGGCACTGTGGAGCATTGGGGTTGGCAATCACTTAGAAGCAAAATGCAGTGGAAAAGTCAACCATCTTCTAAAATGGATGTCAGCTCAGTAGATACAGTATTAACTGTCTACACTGCTGGGTAGGTGGGGGGAGGGTGTGACCTCAGGGGTGCAGGCAGCGCCAAAGCCTGTTTTCAGAACTTACAGTATCACTTAGCGCTTGCCAGTATATTGGAAGCACAATTTAGTTCTTTATGTTAAGAATTTTTATTCTAATAAACTATAAAAGAGAACAAGTGCACACACACACACAGAGAGAGAGAGAGAGAGAGAGAGAGAGAGAGAGAGAGAGAGAATAGGATGGAAAATAATTGGCCAAGTGTCCTCTCTTTCCCTTAGGCCACATACCTACTGAGCATTCAGCCCAGCAAAAATGGCCCTGACCTTGTGGAAATTGTTCAGCTCAGTGCAGAGTGAGGACCTCTAGTTTGTGAGGAGAACGTAACGCCTGCATGAAGCCTCCTTTCCCCAGAAACACACAGAAATGCAACTGTCCTACAAATAATGTGGCAAAGCAGTAAGAAAAAGACTCTTCCTCAGCAGCCTGTCAGTTGCCCAAAGCCTGACAGGATAAAATAATAATAATAAATGACAACAGTGAGGGGGCCAACCTAGTCTTTCCTGAAAGTTCTACAGTCTAGGAACAGTCACTCAGAACCCTTTAGCTTTGGACACAGGGAGCCGTATACTAGGAAAACACTTAACTGCAGAAGGTTGCACACTGTATTAAGCAGGAAAAAAATCTGGATGTTTGTGACATTTTGAAATCAGAACAAAAGGTAGAGAAAGAGTAAGTTCTCTTACCTTTTCATTTTCCACATTAAGGCAAGACAATACGGAAACATTATTATATCCTCCTCCTCCTCCTCCCTCTAATAATTTCAGCAACTAGAGTGATAATATCCAGGAGAGACTACAGACCTGGAGCCAGGGATCAGACAGAGTAGGGATGGCTACGTTAAGAGAGGCTGAGGCCACCCACCCACCCATGTCAGAGCCTACTAAACAGAAAGCAAACAAAGTACAAATGGCTGGAGCCCAAAGCTGCCTGTGGTAGGTCAAGCTCTCCATTTTTCTACAGTCCAGCTAGATTATAGTTCTAATGCATCATTAATTGCAGTTGGCTGAATGTCAGCTTCAGGCACGCAAAGCCATGGACTGAGCTGGAGAGGAAAATAACTATAGATTCCAATGAGGGCAAGTTTCAGCTACCCCAGATCGTCGACACACCCAAAGCCTGTTCATACATTATTGGACTTAGGTGGGTAAAGAGAAAGAGTGCTTAGTTCCATGGAAGATCAGGAGCACTAAGGATGAGAATCAAAGAAGACTGACTGTGGAAAGGGAGAGAATACGGCTGCTACTGATGCATTTCTAATATGTGGAGGGCTGTGCACTTCTTTCAGTGTTTTATCTGAGATGAGAAATATATATTGGAAAGAAATCTAGATTATTTGAGAACAACCACTGTACTTGTGGTATTAACTGCAAAATATTACTTCTACATTGATTTACCAAGGAAATTCAAGGCTGCAAACCCAGAGAGTAAGCCACAATGAACACAGTATCAACTACTTCTGGGAAATATGCATAGGATTGTGCTCCACACATCATCACTGGTACAGTTGTCTCCGTATTTGTCCTTCTGTGAATTTTGTTGTGAAAATTCTTCTACCGTTTAAGCTGTGACATAGGATAAAGTGGTTACTAGGAATTTCTTAATCTTTGGGGGAAAATATTGAATATCCAGTTGTGACATGCAGTGAAAAAAAACCCCATATATTTAACTGAAGATGTTTAACTGTTACATTGTAAACTGTCCTGCTTCTAGGGTAGGGAAGTCATATAAATAAATAAGTATATAACCATATTACTACATATAACCATATAAAACCATATGTATGTATGTATGTATGTATGTATGTATGTATGTATGTATGTATGTATGTATGTATGTATGTATGTATGTATGTATGTATGTATGTATGTATGTATGTATGTATGTATGGTATATTACTTGTTATTTACCTATAAACTAGTATAACTTGATTTGGAAGTGGCTTGTGCTTGGCCCCAATAGTAAAAATCATTACTAGGGATGGAGGCAAAAATATTCTTTAATATTTCAATGGTTTCCCTACATTCCAAAAATTAAATTCTTAGCTGTCCATGTTAGCCCCAGATAGAAATAAGGATAATTCAAATTATTCAAGCATTTCTTGCTTTCAAATTATGAGATCAAACTTTAAACCTATTATGACGAGACAATCAAATGCCACCCAAATTGAAGAAAATTACTGTGTGACGTCATACAGAATTTTTTTCAATAAATGTTTTCTGTCATATTAGCCATTCATGAAGTCTTCTTCATATTACAGACACTCCACACAAAATATCTTTGGGGGGAAAAAGTTAATTTAAAAAGCTCACATTTCTCTAAATTGCTGAGGGCAAGCGGGGAAACCACTGCATTAGTGCCAGTTTTCTGTTGGATTTCGGCATCAGAGCCACAGGTCAAAATGACTTTATACTAAAATGTATATTGTATATACAGTAATAGTACTATTCAAGTGACATAGTGGAAATAGGTGGGAAAAACACTGATTGGTTTTCTTTTGTCTGTAAACATTACCTGTGTTTTTCATCTACCGCAGCTGCAGATTTCAGAGTTTGCAATACTGCATGGTGTTCTGATCTGAACTTTTATTCTGTAAAAAAGGACTGGAAACTTAGAATAAGTTGGTCCCAATTGCTAAATCATCCACTGCTCCCACAAGAACTATGGCTTCTCAAATGTTCCAACAGTAGGGCCTATGGAAAGTGAAATCAAACTCTTGCATAATATGCGGACTGTCTTTTTTGGGTGAAATTAATGACCATTTAGGTCCTTAATCTCCCCATCCCCATCCCCCCCATATAGGCTGCTGCTATGGGCCTACCACTGTTATTCGTAGTTAGGGTGGTCCAGCCAGCATCTGTTCCAATTACTTCTAGAGGTATAACTTCTGACATTGCTGCCATTTGCTGGAGATGCCAGAACAACTGCTCGGCTTCTCTTGTTGCTTGGGAAGTTTAAGATGATATCCTGGAAATCCTCAGAACTGTGCACATACAGTGGACCCTCTACTTACAGAATTAATCCGTAATGGAACGGTGGGTGCGGGTCGAAAAGTCTGTAGGTCGAGTCTCCATTGACCTCACAATGCATTGAAAACTGATTAATCCTGTAACTGGCCATTTTTGTTCCATTTTTGTTCCATTTTGGCTTTTTTTCTGGTCTGTAGGTCGATTCTCTGGCTGCAAGTCAAACCTAAATTTTGCAGCCAGAGAAGTCTGTAACTCGAAGTCTGTAAGTCGAGGGTCCACTGTATGATTTGTTTGCTGCCACATTTCCCCCAAAGTGCTGTCTGTAGTAGAGGGGACGGCCTCTTGAAATCAGCATGGCAAACGTGGAGCTCCAACTTGCTGGGCTGGTTGAAGCCTGGATCTCCAAGGTACAGAAGAGAAATCGATTTATAATCTGCTCCCTGCTCAAAAACAACAACAACAACCCCACCCACCCATTCTTCTGCTACTCTTCAGGCACTGGAGAACAGAAGCACAGTGGCAATGGGGACTCGTTTCATTTAACAAGGCTATTACTACATCTATTTTGTTTAGAGCTTGACTTCCAAGAAGAAAGCAGGCATTAATTTTAGCTGTGATGGGAACCTGTGGCACTGCTTTACATTGATTCAACTAATTGGCCTCTTGAAGCCCAATACAATCTTCTTGGACTGACAGTGGTTCTCCAAGCACTCAGATTAAGGTACTGTATGTCTATATTCTTTTTACTGTGAGATGGGAACTAAACTCAAGAAATTATAGTTATAAAACTTGTGTTGACATGTTTTTCACTCGAGTCACTTTCGTTGACTTGTGTATGTGTGTGTGTTTCTGTTTTTACACAACATTGCTTTGGCAATTAGATTATAATGGACCAATATCAAATTGCCAGATGATACTGAAATATATATGTATACATACATACACACACATATGTATTTGTATATGTATATACATATATATTCACAGTATATATAACTGTGAAACCAGAGGAATTGTTTAGGGTTTTACTATGGCCTCGTGAAAATTTTAATGATTTGGATGATTTATATATACATAGATAAATATATATAAAAATCTAATTTTCAAGAGGCCATAGTAACACTCTAAACAATTCCTCTGGTTTCACAGTTAATTTTGTGCACATGATAATAATGGTAAATACTTTACCTGTTACATTAAATAGTCTACTGAGCTTGTTTCTGCCATGAAGCCAGAGTTATATCAGGTCCTTTTTTATAGATACCAGTTGGAGCCACAATGGAAATAAAACAAAACACTGAAAAAGTTTTATTGGCTGTAAAGCAAGCTATAAACTATGTACATATTCACTATGTTACATTTTCATAAAATTAGTGAACGTTCTCTTTAATATTGGTGGTGGCATTACGCGTTGAAAACAGTGCACCCCAAAACCATCACAGTACATGTTCAGTAAATATGATTTTTCTATTATATACAGACTAATACTAGAGAACATTATAAGAATTTCAGCTTCGGTTCAAAGACAAATTCTGTTCCATTTGAGAGTTTACAGTTCAGCGAATCTCTTACTTCCAGTTCTAAGATACGGAATTCCAGCAGTTCATTCTGGTCTCCAGCATCTTGAATCTCACTTTTCAGTCGGTTTTCTTCCAGTTCCATTTTGTAAATCTAAGAGAGAGAGAGATAAACATCACCTAACTGAGAGAATTCAGTGCACAGATACTTGTAGCATACAAGAGAAAGGAACAATTGGTAAAACAGAACAATGTTGAACTTCTGTACCAATTAGGTGATGACATGGAGATAGCAGATTGTTTCCACTCTGGCCTCTCAATCTGATGTGGTTTGATTTGCATCACAGCCCCCTGCCCCTGTTCCTTTGATCTTGCCCTCTGCTGATCCCTGGCTTTCCTTTTATGATTAATTGTTAAGCCAGGGACTATTTAAAGTCTTGCTCCACACTAAGCAAAAAAGAGACTTTTTCCAAAGTTCTCCATAGCATAGGAACACATACACACATATCACAGAAACACAGTAGTCTGCTGTGGTTTGTTGGAGTTGTTTCTGTTTCTTATTTATTTTTATCTCTTTTTTGTTACAAGCAGAGATTATCTAGTGACGAGTAATATACCAATGCAGTGAGAAGGTGATCTTGCACTAAACTCGATAGTTTAACAAAAATAATTTTAAAAATTTCCAGGTGACTAGGGAGAAAAATTCAGGGGTGGGTGGTCCCGCTGTCCAAAACATCCTGCCCAGCATAGTACATCACCAGAATATGACTCACAGTCATGACCCCCATTCTTTTGGAGAACAAAACAATCGGTCACACTGGGAAAACATTGTTCAAATTGCTCCAGCTTGAAAAAAGTAGAAGCCACCAGTGGCAGGCAAAAATATCCACTTCAGAGACAAAAAAGGCTATGATTATTCATATTAGCTTTTGTGGGGCATGGTTTGTTGCTGTGAAAGATGGCAGTGTAAGTGTTCTGCTCCTCTCAAAGCCTGCTAATGTAAACTAATAGAGCGGGAATACTGGCGTGCAGAAAATAAAATAATTGCAAAAAAATACAAGGCTGGGGAAACCTAAAAAGTTGCCAAGAGAAAATAGACTGGGTGCCTCTTTAGAAGAAGAAAGAATAACTGATTCATCCGAGATGACAGAGAGATCAAATAACAAGGTGACTGCTGGTAAAAGGTAAGGGGCGAAGCAAAGCTAATTAGCCTAATTAAGAAAAGATACACAAAGTGATATGAGAACTAAGATTGCTCCAGTCAAAGAGGCATTGAAAGAAGTCAAAGCTAGCATTAAATAGAAAAGAACTGCAAATGAAACTTTTGAACTTACTCAACAGCAACAAATAAAAATGATGAACTTGAGAAGGAGTTAACAGTGTTAACCATCTCTCAGAGTGGTATTTGTTCCTTTTTAGTATTTGCATATTGTTTTAGCTTTAATACTGTGTTTTAAATATGTCAGCTGTTTATACTCATTGTTCTTAGCTTTAAATATTGTCTTTTAATGATGTAAACCACTATTGTATACTCATGGTTTTCAGCTTTAAATATTGTCTTTCAAGGATGTAAGCTGCCTTGGGTCATTTTTAAGGAGATTCAGAAGGGGCAACAATGAAGGTAGTAGAAAAGATTATAAAGCATAAAGGCGTGTTACTGAAGACCTAGGCCAGAATTATCCATCCCACTGTATTTCTGATCACAATGTATGGCTGTCAAAGCAGAACAGTGAAGAAAGCTGATAGAACAAAACAATTCATTTGAAATATGGTGCTGGAGGTGCCTGGTGAGTGGACCAGGCTGGTCCTGGGGGGTGGGAATGGACCACCATGGCATCTATAGTGCAGAGCTTTCTATTTACATCCCCTGGAATACGAATATGAAGCTCCCATGTCTAATGGCCATCTGTGCCTACTTTGTTATAGAGACTTTGGAAATCACAATCATGTACACAAAAAATCACAGTCAGTACTAAGAAATCTCCATCTCCATCCCATGCTATCAAGAGTGGCTGTATCAGGAAGTTTTTAATACCATTTCAGACAAGGTTCTGTGTTGTGTTTTCTTGTATTGCACTTACATTGAATTGTGATTTATTAATATAACTAGAATGAATTGCTAACATGCGCTGGATTATGGAGAAAGCCAGAGAGTTCCAGAAAAACATCTACTTCTGCTTCATTGGCTAAGCAAAAGCTTTTGACTGCGTCGACCACAACAAACTATGGCACGTTCTTAAAGAAATGGGAGTGCCTGACCACCTCATCTATCTCCTGAGAAATCTATACGGGGACAGGAAGCAACAGTTAGAACTGGATATGGACCAACTGATTGGTTCAGAATTGGGAAAGGAGTACGAGAAGGCTGTATATTCTCTCCCTGCTTATTTAACTTATATGCAGAATACATCATGTGAAGGGCAGGACTGGAAGAATCCCAAGCCGGAATTAAGATTGCTGGAAGAAATATCAACCTCAGATATGCAGATGATACCACTCTGATGGCAGAAAGTGAGGAGGAATTAAAGAACCTCTTAATGAGGGTGAAAGAGGAAAGTGCAAAAAATGGTCTGAAGCTCAACATCAAAAAACTAAGATCATAGAAGGGGAAGATATAGAGGCAGTGAAAGATTTTACTTTCTTGGGCTCCATGATTACTGCAGGCGGTGACAGCAACCATGCAATTAAAAGACACCTGCTTCTTGGGAGGAAAGCGATGACAAACCTCGACAACATCTTAAAAAGCAGAGACATCACTTTGCCAACAAAGGTTCACATAGTCAAAGCTATGGTTCTTCCAGTAGCGATGTATGGAAGAGAGAGATGGACCATAAAGAAGGCTGACCACCAAAGAATTAATGCTTTTGAATTGTGGTACTGGAGGAGACTCTTGAGAGTCCCCTGGACTGCAAGGAGATCAAACCTATCTGTTCTGAAGGAAATCATCCCGGAGTGCTCACTGGAAGGACAGATCCTGAAGCTGAGACTCCAATACTTTGGCCATCCCATGAGAAAACTCCCTGGAAAAGACCCTGATGTTGGGAAAGTGTGAGGGCAAGAGGAGAAGGCGATAACAGAGGACGAAATGGTTGGACAGTGTCATCGAAGCTACCAACATGAATTTGACGAAAGTCTGGGAGGCAGTGGAAGACAGGAGGGCCTGGCGTGCTCTGGTCTATGGGGTCACAAAGAGTTGGACATGACTTAACGACTAAACAACAACCAAGAATGAATATTTTGATGGATTACGATTGGAAGGAAAAATATCCTTTCCTTCTATCTACTCCCATGCACTGCTGCAAGATTTTTTAAAATTTTTTAAATATTTCACTTCTACTGTTTTTATTCATCTCTCTCTCTCATGCATACAAAATAGGCACTACAAAACCACCTTAATGTCTCTCACTCAAAGATGAAAAGTGTTTTTTCTTCCATAGTCAGCTACATGGTTAGGTTGTAGTTCAAAAAAGAAACATCTCTGGTCTCAGTGTATTTGATGTTGTAGAAATGAGGACCAGAAATACTGACAGTGTCGTTACTTCACCTACCCTTTCTAGCAATTCTTGGTTTGTCCTCAAAAGTACTTGATTCTCCTCTATTAATTTAGAAACCTGAAAAAGAGAGTTTTCAGAATTAAAATGTATTTTGTTTTGAAAACATTAACATATACTGCCTTTAACCAAGAATATTATGGCAGTTTGCAAATATTAAAAGATATAAAATAATAAATATATACAAAGCCAAGAATATTATGGCAGCTTGCAAATATTAAAAGATATAGAATAATAAATATATACAAAACAGCAAACACACAAAAGATATAAAATAATAAATATATACAAAATAACAAACATAAAATACTGTTAAATGTCAAAAGATTTAAAATACTTGAAGTTGCGATGTTTTAAGATATCTGGATAAATGAATTCTATGGGTGAAGTGCCACCATGAAAAGCGTCTTCTTCCCCCCTGGAACAAATCTCCTTTATGCTAAAAGAAGTTTCAGAGAAGGACAGCAGCTATGATTGTAGCATGCAGGCAGGCTGATATGAGAAGAAGTTAGCTTTCAAATACATTACTGCTGAAGCGCTCACATCTTTAAAGGCAAGCACAAGAACTCTGAAGTCGACCTAGAAGTCTAGAAGGAACCACTGAAGTTCTTCTATAGCTGGTGAGATGGCAGCACCAGCATTGGAAGTACTGCTAATTAAATACCTGGCCCCTTAATTCTACCATAAATGGTATTTGCAAAAGGGTGCTCTATATAAACCACAGTGCAATAATCTAGCCAGAATGCCACAAAAGCATGGATAAACATGGCTATATTATCCTTGTGCAGAAGAGGTCACTGCTGAAGCACCAGACAAACTAGGTCATAAGTACTTTATGTTAAGACGATGACTTGATCCTCTAAAAACAAGGAGTACTTCTATACTGTTAATTATTTCAATAGGAATGCAATTCCATCTATAACTGATTGAATACCAGTGTCTGTGAAGGAGAGAACCATCTACCCATAGAATCTCTGTCCTGTCAGGAGTAACTTCCTGTTTACTGCCCCTCATCCTATGTATTACTGAGACAACAATTCAGCATTTCCATAGCCTCATAAAGACTCAAGAATTGCTTCACTGAGAAATTTAAAGAAAAAAAAAAGATTACCACCCACAAAGCAAAGAAATTCAGACCACAGATGAAATCCTCCTCACTCAAAACATGAGCATACAGATCCGCTCTTCTTGTACCTTAACTTCCAACCTAAGGAAATGCTACAGTAGAATCTCACTAGCCGTTTCACTTTCCATATAGTATATCACTTGTAGAGTGGGAAAAGCTTTGATATGCCAATACAGTGGTGCCTCGCTTAGCGATCACTCTGCATATTGAAGAAATTGCTTAGCGACAGGGTTTAAGTAATCTCAAAAGCGATCGCTTAGCGATGGTGCCTATGGGGAAAATTCGCTTTGGGATGATAGCGGGGAAGCGATCATCACAAAGCCCCCATTTTTGGCCAGCTGATCGGTGGTTTCAAAATGGCCACCGGAAAAAACAAAATGGCCACCCGCTGTGTTGCCTCGCTTTAGAGGCACTGAAAATGGCCGCCCCTATGGAGGATTTTCGCTTAAGGTTAGTTTTTAAGGACATAGGAACACATTAATGTTGTTTTACTGTGTTTCTATGGGCTTTTTAAATCCGTTTAGTGATGAAATCGCTTAGCAACGTTTTTTCCTGCACGGATTAATGTCACTAAGCAAGGCACCACTGTATTTACAAACATCCAATTTGCAGCACAGTCCTACCCCCAGTTGCACAATCTGTACTAGCCTAGGTGAGCATATCTGTATTTGGGGGAAAATATCATTGTATTTAATAGACTCAGTCCAAGGTAAGCAGTTTTTTTTCTTTTTCTTTAGAGAATCAAAGAGTAGAGCTCAGCTCTTGAGTTTACCAGTGCTTGTAGTCAAAGTATGAAAAAGGTACATCAGTGTGAGAATATACTGACTTGTGGGGGATGTTGATCTGTGGTCTGAACATCTTTGCTTTGAGAGGTGTATTTTTCCTCACTTAGGAATTAGATTCAGATTTTGAGGACACAAGTACCCTGCAGTGTACCCCAGAGCAATTTACATTAACTTGCTATAATTAATCCTTAACAGACATAAATTTGGTACAAATCTGAAAAGTAGAAAGATGTAGTGTTGGGAAAATCTGTCTTTACTGAATAATGTAAGGCAACTGAGGTAAATGAATTATTCAGGTAAGCTACTGAATGAATTAAAAATAAACAAGACAAACAGTCAATAACAACACAAAACCTTGGACTTCTTGGGCAAAATAAATTAACTCTTCCCTATCTCTTCCATCTCAGTCTCTAAGGAAACCACTTCCACACACAAGCTAGTTAAAGATATACTGTAAGTCGTGAATCCAAAGTGTCTTCTGGGAAACACATTCCATGATCAGATTTGTTTCACCAGTTAGTCCTACGTCTTTACCATTTATTTCTGTTGGGGGGGGGATAAGATGGAAACCAGTACTCAAACATAAGTACATGGTAGCTGGAGCCATTGTATAATAGCAGTTCTCAATTGTTCCATAAATGCAGTTATCTAATTGCCAAGACTATTAAACATGTTTAGATAGTTTTAATTTTTTTTCAGAAAAGCTTAATGATATATCTCATATATGTAGCTTGAGTACTTTGTCAAGTATGTCACTGGTTCAACTTCTATAAGCCATCTTGCAATTTTAGCCTCCCATCTGCCATAATATTGGCCTAATTCGTAGTGTAAATATTACACAAATAACATCTCCTGCCAAGCCATTCATTCATTCAGTACTGAATGCTTCAACAGATTTTACTTTTAAGGAACATAATAGATCTTTTTCTGATATTTGTTTTCCCATATACTGTACATATGAAGAGAGAGGGAGAGAGGGAGAAAGAGAAAGAGAGAGATGGATGGATGGGATAAGCAGAAAACAAAGATCAGCGTCCAGAAACATAAAAGAAAATGAATATATCTAGTTTTGCCTCCCTCTTCCCCCCCCAATTTTTTTTAACCACAATAATGTTTGTAAAAAATACTGGCCCAAACCCCTTCTATTTGCAAGACAAAATGAGTGTTGAAGAACAACTGTTAACAGTTTCCATCTGTTGCAGAGTGGGAGTTCCAAAATGGAGACTCTGGAAGCTAAAGAGTACCTCTGAAGGCTGGATTAGGTCCACAGGCTAGAGACTCCCTATCCTTAGTTTACACATTTAATTCTTAATGCATAGTATCTAGGATTACTTCCACAGGGGAAACTGCAACTACAGTATCTCTTTTCAGATTAATGCCAGTTTTGTGTCAGCCAGGGCTAGTACCTACACTGTCAAGGAGACCGAGAAATGGTGCTGCACATTCCTGCGGAGCGATGCATTCCTTCAGTACTGAGCAGATTCTGTTTTTAAGGAAAATAATGCATTTTGCACTAAGCATTAAGAACAAAAAGGAAACATCTGTTTATTGATTGATTGATAAATAATTTTATTTACATCCCACCTTTCCTCACAAAGTGTCCAGAGCAACCATTAATTTATATGAAATACATTACAACACAATTAAAACCATAAGTCTAAGATTACATATATAAAATGAAATACAATGAAAACATCACATATGCAAATAAAACAAAGAGAAGGAGGAGTATGTGTGCTGCACTGCTCTGGAGACTGTGGGGGGGGTATGTGGGCTAGGGCTGGGAATCCTGGTAACACTGGAGAGGCCACCCAATTGTACTATGCATGGCTGGCTCCTATTCCAAGTTTGCAGAAGAAGCTTTTTCTCTCAGTTCACCACCATGGAGAGGTAAGATATTTTTTGACAAAACGTAATGAAGCTAATCCCAAAGAAATCATTGCTCATAGTGGTCTTTACCCAAAGCCAACAACTTCCAAATCAAAATTAAAAGATTTTTTGAAAAATTAGAGAAAAGACATGGTGGGAAAGCCCACCCAAAGCCTATAAGTACTGAGCACGTCGTCACTGAGTGCTGAATCTCTAGTGTATGGAATCTGACCTGTAATGGGGTATCTGATAGAGAATTGGGAAAGAAGGCATGGCTGGCTAGCCAGCCAATTCACTGAGCAGGAATCCTCTGCACTGTACGACGTTTCTAACAGGACATACTAATACTGAGTACTGTAGTCATAAAGAGCTTCCTCTGAGAAGTAATTTCACAGGTACATACACATGTGAGTCTGCTATGAAAGTTCTGTAAACCAAATAGCTAAATTCTTTTTGGAGGTAATGTTATGCACCATTTTCATAATGTTCTTTAACACTGATAAATAATACCATTGCTATGATCTAAGAAATGTTAAGTTTTTGGTTCCTTTTTGACCCAAATATGTGCTGCAGGATTTCAGATGATGATTAGGTTCTGTAAAGGGTACATGAAATTGGATCTCTTTAGGTAAAGAGTAATCAAAGCCGTTTTAAGAAAATGATTCTTCTAAGACACCTTTCTTTCAGTAGAATATCCTTCCCAATGGTTGCCAAAATGGTGTGAGAAAGAAAAAAAAATAACAAAACGTTTGAGCTAGAATGCCAAATTGCAACAGTAAGTATGCTTGGGATTGCAGCTGACGCTGCTCAGTATTCATGTATTTTAACATTAAAAAAAACAATTAGGAGCATTTTTCTGGTGGAAGAACAGCAGTTAGCACATATCAGCTACAGAAATGTACCAGTAAACGATGTAGATGATAAGAGCAGCAGTGCATGCAGAAGAGAGAATGAAGTGACAGAAGCCACGAAGAAAGCCTTTTACCTGTCCTTTTGCAACAAGAGCTTTCTCCAAATCTTCAATTTTTGCTTGGCACTTAAGTAAATCAGCTTGCAGCTTTTCTCGTGTCTGAAAAAAGAGATTTTAAAAAGGATTTACTGTTATTACAGTGACAATTTAATAACAGATGATACTTCTTACATTTTGTTTGTTTAGAATCCACTTTTTCAGAATGCAAAAGATCAGATCCTTTTTACTCAATACTCTGATATGGCAACAGCAGGTAAGCCAGTAACTGTTGCCACTACTCTTTTTCAGGACAAAAGGTACCAGAATTCTTGAGTTATGTTTCCTCAGAAGTAGATGGCAACTAAATTATAATGAAGAGTATTAAGATACTGGACAAACGCAAGGAGACATGGCCTTGGTCTGTGAGGACTAACTGAATCCAGACCTCAAAGCAAGGTTGTAGAGCAGGCGGTATCATAATAATAAACATATCTTACGCAAACCCAGAAAATAGGTGCTGGAACTAGAAAAAAAAAGCCCAGACTGTTGCAGCTAGTATTGGAAACAAGAAGATTATCTCTCAGTTAAGACATTTGATCTGGCACTGAAAAGGTAATGAAAGTAGGGTGGGAAAGCAACTTTGAAGATCATAAATTCATATGTCCTAATTCAATCTGAAAGGCAGAAGGAGCAAAGACTTCAACTAAAATGTCTGGGTTTAGCTGGAAAGATTGCAAGAAGCCATGAAGGTGTGAGAGGTGAACTGGTAAGCAAATACCACTGTGCATTACAATTTGGCCGAAGTTTTTAAAGATAAATATATGCTGCATATCTAGCAAGAAAGACCAAATCAGATAAATAAATGTCATAAGTGTATTATAAAAGTCTTAAAAATTCTGTGGAATGGAAAAGGGGTGTCAAGGTTGTGAAAATGGACAAAAAACAAAGCAACAGAAGCATGACTATAAGCAAGACCTCCCCATACTCACCTGACTGGAGAGGACTGTCAAAGTTTGATATTTTGTATAAGTAAAGAAATGATTAAGAAATAACAAATGTAACCCTAGGAATGTCAAGTGTAATTATAACAGAGAGACAATGAACCTGCCTGTTAGAGATTACTCTGGTGCAAGGAGATGTGATCTTGAAGTAGCAATGTACTGAATGTCTGTTAGAGGTCACTGCAGAATAATTACAAACCTCCCACACAATCTCATGCATTCTTCTACAGTAGAAAAATCTATGTAAAAGTCAGGTGGTTCTGCAGCTGTAGCATCTTCCATAGAGAAACCTTAGAGTTTGCTACCAAAGCAGACCCAGTGAGAACATACATTGAGTCTGCTAAGTTAGGAGAAAAAGAAAGTAAGAGAGAATGTTACTGTTTCCTACTATCAGCAAACATTCACTTTTGTAGCAAATTCTGTGGGATTCTGCATTAGCTTGCTTGCACTGGAATCTACACCTGGGTTAATATGTGTAACAAAGATAAGGATATATAAACATCATTAACTGCTAGATAGTTTGGTGGTTTTGGTTTCTTGCTGTTGAGCCAGAGATTGGGAGATTGATTCCCAATGTGCCTCCTTGACAGGAGCTGGACTCGACGATCCATAGGGTCCCTTCCAGCTCAGCAGTTCTAAGATTATTATTATATTTTTATTTGCCTCTAAAAGGGCTGGTGTAACATAAGCAAAATGCCAGCCAGCAGAGTCAGCTAAGCCACAACGGAGCCAAGCCATGCTGAACTGAGATGCTGGGGAGGAAAAAGATGATAAAACAGCAGAATCTGGAAACAACAACACAAAGGCAACATACAGAAAGCATGGGTTTTCCTCCATAGATTTAAATTGGGAGGCGGATGGGTGAACATATAGAAAACTTACTATTTTTCAGGTGCGTTCAAATATGTTAAAAGGCTAAGGAATCTATTCCTATTTTGATAAATTTTTACTTTTTTACACAATGTGCCTTTTGAAGATACAAGCTCTTGTATTTTTGGATTGAAATATGATTTAAATTCTTGACTGTAACTTTTTTAGCCAAAAGCTTATAATTACAAATATACTTATCTGACTTAAGTTCAGTCTTCATATATTTCCTACAGTTTTGCTCATAGCTGTAAAAATGATATTTAGAGGTCACATATTTGTGACTTCTCAAAAAATTACATATTTTCAATAATGTGGATTTTTATACATAGAAGCAATGAGGATGAATAAAGCTGGTAGAATTACATCTGCTAATGTTGCCTGGATTCATTTTTCTCTGTTCAACTATGAGTGAAAACAGTGTTTTATTCTCATCCTCTAAAGAGAGACAGACCAAGTTTGGAAGCTACATTCCTAGCCAGGCAAGATCAGGTAAATGACTTATATCCGAATGCCCAAGTGAACTTTGATATGATCGTCATACTTATCTGGTTCACACTGCAACTAACCCTTTCAGGAAGAAATATTCGGCTGCAACAGACCATCATAGACTCAAAGGGGTGTTATAGTGTCATACTTTTGATCTCGACAGGGGTCAGATTACCGAGGAATGGTGTTAACTGCCAACATTAGATTTATCGAAGTCCTGGTGGTAGATGAGGTGCTCCATCAAGGAGAAACTCCAGCAGATCAGAATCAGGACTCAGCAGAACATCGCCAAATAGCACATAGACAAGAAGAGTATTACAGATTATATAATTTAAACGTATGCTCACATTTAGTTCTAATTTTTTGTTTTTGTTAGAATGCTAGAAATAGAATGCTGAATGGGAAGGAGTTGAAGACTGCACTTTTATTCAGTGAGAGGAACAGATGTTTGAAAATTTTCTTTACATTTTAATATTTTATTTTAGTCCCTGAGGAAGGCCCTAAAAGTACTACAGGGCTGAAACAAGTTATACTCCACAAAATAGTAAAAGGAAAAAGATAATTACTGTCATCCTGAAGTTTTTCTCCTTGGTTTATACACTTTGGTGAATGTCTGCCAATTTTGTTTTATTACTATAAGTAACACAATTGAACAAAGATACAATTTCAGATTTCTGGGAGGTCACTCTGCAGCATTCTACATACTGTTCTGGGTTCCACTGAGAATGGATATGAGAACTGAGAATAGCTACTCCAGAATTCGGTAAATTCCAGATTCATTGTAAAATTACAACAGAATCTATATATGGCAGGGTCTACCAAAATGTTTCCCCTTCACCAACTAATTTGCCCCTTCACCAACTAATAGGCACTATAAGGAAGAAAAAAGGTAAAAGAGTGCAAAAAAACAAACAAATCCAAAAAACAAAACCCAAACAGTTTGCATGCATTTGGATATAATCACAATATGTTAGCTAGACAAATAATTGCATCTTTTTTTAAAACCACAGAAGGAAAATTACCCTAGCTTCTCTTTCTGCATCCAAAGTTCCCCCGACCTGTTCCTGGAGCAAGGCATATGCCCTTTGCAAAGCTTGATATTCTCTGGTCAGCTGACAGAACCTCAAATCAGCTTCCTCTTTAGGTGTGTTCTTTAAATAAATAAAATAACATTCACAATAAATAAAATAGCATTCACAATATGGTTTCTTCTAATGATGCAAATGTTGTCAATAGAATATTGTGGTTATTTTCTATTTTAGGAGAAAATGAATTATATTAGGAAACAAAAACATGACATTCTAAGTGAATCTCCTTGCAATGTGTACTGAAGTAACAAGTTGTAGGGGTATGCCCTTTTGTTTTTTGGAATGGAACTCCCAGAGTTCTCCAACAATTCTCCAAGAAAAATCATGGAAATTTCACCCCACAAACACACACCTACATTTCACTCACCTGGAGCAAAGCCTACCTCTGAAGCTCCATGGCCTTCTATGGCTTCTTGGGAGTCATAGTCTTGCTGACCATAGGCTCTATAGAAGGTACCTTGCAAAGAACTATGACTTCCAGAGAGAACTGTGTCTGTAGGTTTGTCTTTGTGAATGGAAACTCTCAGAATTCTGCCTGGGGTATTCTTGGGGAATTCTGGGAGATGGAGTTAAAAAAAAGATATACCCCTAATAGGTGGTTATCAAGTCTAGTGTCCCAGATATAAAGATATTTATGATGATGACCTAAATACAAAAGGTCTATTCTATTCAGGCAAAAAGGGGAACATTCTAGACTGATTATTGTCATCATTTTTATCATCCCTCATACACATGAAAGATGGAGTGTCTAAAGAGAGCGAGAGAGCTCTGCCATCTACAGGGGCTCCCCACATTAGCCCTGATTTACTTTGGGTTTCATCAACTGAACAAGAATAAAGTGAGCAGTCATTTCAGCAATAATGCTAGAGATATTTTTAAATGCTAATTTAAAACGGCATAATTTCCCTAAGAATGAAAGCCACGAAACCCCAAATATTTCGTAAAACTGACTGATATAGGGGCTCTGATCTTGCTTTAATACTAAGATATTATTTGTTTTATTACATTTATATCCCACATTTCCTTTAAGGAGGTCAGAAAAATTTGTAAATTTCCCCCATGATCCTCACAATAACTTTGTGTGTAGCATGTTTGGTTAAGAAAGAGTGACTGGCTCATGATCACCTAGTGAACATCAGGTACTCCACTCCAGCTTTAACTGCTGCTGTCCAAATATTCATGGCAGGTTCACAGCTTATTGACTGAACTGAGAATTCTCCCGATAGAGAGAGTTCTACTGGAACGTTCTACATGGATAGTCAAGTATTGTCCCAAGTACTAACACCTTCTTCCCAAAAGGATAGCTCGCTGAATTATATTTATTTAATATTTAATATTTAGGGCACAATCCCTGAGAAAGTGCAATACAACTAATTAAAAATACAAAACCAAACACACACACAAAGTATTGAGTATATCCATCACTGAAATAATAAAGAAGATATAATGAAATTGTACCAGCAACAATTTTTGTTATAAGCATATTAAAATCAAATGCAAACTGGAATAAAGAAATCCTTAAAGGCCTCCTGAGGAAGAACAAAGTGAGGTTGTGTGTGTGTGTGTGTGTGTGTGTGTGTGTGTGTGTGTGTGTTTGTGTGTGTGTGTGTGTGTGTGTGTGTGTGTGTGTGTCCCAGAAAGGGGTTTCAAAGGATGATGAACTGTAAGAGAAAAGGCCCAGATTCTCACAATCAGCTTTATGAAAAAGAGAACTTCAGATGTTAATTATATCTTAGGAACATCATGGGTACCATGACAGTCTGGAGTCTATCCAAGCAACAGTCTTTCTAAATCATTTACCAAATACAGAACATCTAGACTCAAGCATTACTGTTTCTTGTATACCTGACCTGGTGGTTCCATCAAGAATCGTATCACATATTTGCTTGAAAGACGTTTGAAAGGGCATGAGAAATTAGTGGAAAGCTTATCAAAATGTGTTCTAAGAGGCATTATGTCACATTACATGCTCAGGAACTTACATATTCCACATCTTCTTCTGGTGTGGCTGGAGTCCTGTCAGTTTTATCTGTGTTATAGGATGTCACTGATGATGTTTCTGAATCAACAGATGCTTCATCAAATCCAAAAAATGTCTCCACAACATGCATCTGAAACCACAATAACATTCTTTGTTATAGAGAGATCCCAAAGGACTGCAACATTTACAAACACAAATGCACACGTGTTCCTGTGCACTTCAGTCACTTTCTCTTAAGCTAAGATACAATAAAAAGGCTTGTTAAAGATATCTCCTACAATGGACCATTGACAAGCAAGAAAGGTGCTATCGAAGATCTTCTTTTATGCAGCAATGCTGTGAAGTCATGTGCACTAATTAAGATATACATAAACATGTGGGAAGAGAGCTAAAATAGAAAAAGAAAACACTGTGAGGAGCAGTTGTTAAATATCTCTTTGCACAAGCATCCATGAGCATGCCAGTGCTGCTAACCTAGCTCTAAATTTCAAGCTTGGCCCATTATTAATAATGAGTTGCCAACCAATCTGGTATCCTTAACAGTTTAGAATTTCCAATTCATCTGAGGAGTCCTATTCATTGCAGGGCTCTCATCTGAAACTATAAAAGTGACAGCAGGCATATGTGACTGCGAAGACATGTACCCTTTCAAATATCAAGGTCCTTAATTTATATTGACATGCATAACCCAAAAAGATGGCTAATACTTAGATATAAAAACAATGAACAAAATAAAGATGCAGAACAGCAGGCAAAACAGTGTAAGAATAAATGACCTGACAAATAAAACAGGTGGAGAAAAAACTTGCTAAAATGATGCTAAAATATCACTTTTTTTTATCTGATGCCAGCAGGGAGAAAGCAGGATGTGTCCTCTAAGTACAGTAGAAAGATCCATAGCTTGGGCACCACAGCCAAGCAAGCCCTATCCTATGTAACCCCACCACAATTCACACGGCTGAAGATATGGAGCAGGACCTCTGTTGAAGATGCAGCAATCAAGTGTAATACCATATGGGACCAAACAGCATTTTAGAAGGTAAAAACCAGCACTTTGAACTGGACTCGGAAGCAAATGAAAGGCCACCTAAAATGTTCCCTAATTCCAAATCCAGCTGCAGCATTCATTCTACACTAACTGAAGCTTTTGGACAACTGAAGGGAGTCTGAAGTAGTGCATCATGTTGCAATCCAATCTGGATGGGACCAAGGCATGTGTGGAAATGTTTAAGTATGATTCCATGAGGAAAGGCTGCCATTGATCCTCTTACTGATCCACACTGTCATCCACAGCCAGGCCCAATGAAGTTGGCAAGACTGAATAGTCTGGATCAGGGAGACTCTTTCGTCTTATCTGCTGCACTACATGCAACTTCTGTAAGAACGACCAGACAGTTGTGAGATTTATTTTGACATGGACTTCCAAGCTTCCTAGAGTCTGGTGCTCCTACAGCTTGGGTAGGCAGTGTGAAATGCCATGAAGGGTGTAATCAAAGGGTTACCAGAGCCAGGAACCCATACCAAGGAAAGCTAGAAACCAAGACCCGTGAACTGTAAAGTCACAAGTCCAACATGTTGTGGGTGGGGTCCACACTGAAGGTACGTAGGACTCGCATCCTCCTGTTCCAGCAACAACCCATCTCACACAGTGAGCTAAGTGACTTCAAGAGTATGAGGCAAAATGGATGTGGAGTCTACACAAAATCCTCTTCCTTCACCTCCACAACACTCAATTGCAAACAAGATAGGGCTACTGCTCATTAGAAAGAAGTCTGGTTTGGGGACTAGGATTTAATCTGTTCTGCAAGGGGTTATACTGCTCTGAAAGATCAAATTTTCTGGGTCAAAGAGAATTATGCCATTAGCACTTATTAGAAAGATAGCTCCTCTAACAGGTTAAATTAATCAGTTTATCCTAATAAAACTTTTTTCTGTTCCACAAGGGAAAAATTAGCTTGCCATTGATAGCTCCTCTAACAGGTTAATCCGTTTATCCTAATAAAACTTTTTTATGTTCCACAAGGGAAAAATTAGCTTGCCATTTTTGTTTTGTGATCAGTCATCAGGAATAAAACATAGACTTTATTTGCCATCATCATTACTCAGTCATGAAAACATAAAGAAATATATGCCTGTAGGGAAAACATTTTATCACCTAATTCCAAATATCATGTCTAGTCTGCTTCTGTTGATTGTCTCCTAGGACTTCCTGGATGCCCATGTGGCCAAGAGTGTTTTGGCACAACTCTATTTAACCTGCCAGTTGTGACTCTTCCTGAGTTGACCAAACTTGTCAACACTCATCTATGGCTTAGTTATATCATGTCTAAATTACTAATTAATGTCCAAATTTCTAAATTATTTTGGGGTCCCACTGAACAACATCTGGAAGCTTCCGTTAGCACAAATGCAGCAGCTAGGCTACTAAGTGATTGATGTGGAAAATCAGTATCCATTTGGTTTATGCATGTTGGTTTTAAACTTCAAAGTTCTAAAGTTTTGTGGCCTATCTCCTGAAGGAATTATCCCTCCTGTTATTTGTCCAGGTGCTAAGACGACAGGCCCTATTTTAGAACACTGTTGCCTGCCTGATGGGCATATAGGAGAAGGCCATCTGTTGTCTTGGTTTCTGGACTGCACACCCCTTGAAAGTGTTTTTAGTTCCTCTCTTGTTGCTTTTAGGAAGGGGGTGAAGATGTATTTTTCAATAAGTGTCAATAATAGGTTTGGGGAAAATTATATGGCACAAAAAATAAATATGGAGTTTGATTGAGAAATATAGAATACATAAAACGCAGGAACATGGCATTCAAAATATAATTACACTGTGCAAATATGGTATTAATGAAGTTACTCCAAGGAAGAATTTTCCCGGACAAGCTATCTCAGCTGGTAGCTGAGTTGGCTTATAGCTATCTGGACAAGCTGACATCGGTTGCCCAAGGGAAAGTCAAAGTTCGGCATCCAAATTGTTTTTTGTTTAAGAAAAATTAAGTGCATAAAAGCAGAGATTTTCATCATGTTTAGAAGGACATCTCCAAACACAGACATCTCTGCTGGGGAAATATTGGGTGAGAAATATCTAATGCAGTGTGACTTGTTTGCAAATGTTCTTGCTTATGCTTTGATAGAATTGTTTTAATAACAATTTGTATTGCAATAGAGTTTGTTTTTAAGTAACTGAGTGAGAGTTATCTAAGAAAATAGCCTTTACTATAGAGAATATGTTTGCTTTGTATTTTGAATCACTGAGCTTCACCTATGAAATGCCTAAACAGAAGCTCTTATTTTAATAGAACCAAAGTTTCTTTTCTATCATAAAGTATTATTTACACATATGAACTAGGGAAATATGTAATAGAAGACTGCAATTTTGAAAGTATATACTCATGTGATTTTTACATACATTGCAAATATATTTATATTTTTGGTTTTTAGTTACTCAGTTGTTTGCTTGTTAAATAAACCTTTTAAAGAAGAAAAGGATTCATTTTTGAACTCTTAAGACAAAACTAATACATGGTGTCCAGGAATGAAGATTTAAAACAAACATAATAAGGTACAATATCTTCTGAGACCATAAATAAAATCCCTGTCAGATGTTTAAAGGACACAAATCTATGGGTCATCCATCCATAAGGAGTCTATTGATCAGGAGCTTTATAGAAGACATTCAGATCCCCCCCATCAAAATTGAGTTTTATTCCTCAGATTGTTTAACTCAAAGAAAGGGTACATACAGTAGCTTTCCAGTCTGCATTCTGCAGACCATTCACATTTGTGGAAAAACTGTCCCAAGAATTGCTTTGTGTTTGGATGAGAAGTTAACTTAAGGGGGGAAAAAGAAATCAGCTTCTGGGATTTTCCCCTGTGTGGTGTCACTTTGTAAATGATAGTGAGCAGAAGAGGGTATCCTGTAGACCAGTGTTCGTCAACCCCCAGTCCGTGGCCTGGTTCCGGTCCGTGGGCTTGCCAGAACTGGGCCGCAGATACGGATCTCCACATGGTGGGTATGTCATGTGCCCGTAGGCATGTCATGCTCACGTGGGGGGTGTCACACTTGTGCAGGGGCCTTGCTTGCATGCCTCCCACATGGCACTGCTCCCCCCAGCCGGTCTGCAGCCCCAAGAAGGTTGGGGACCACTGCGTGTAGACCATCTTGACTGCTGCCATTGCCATTGTCATCATTCAGGCTGCCCTTTGCTATGTGAAGACTGACATCTTTTTCCTGCTGGCAATGTGGGTGCAATATTGTGCAACAGTATTGGGCCATTTCCTGGATTTTTGAATCAAGGTTACAAAAACACACTATCCCATATTTATAAATCATAGGGTTTTTTTTTTGAATAATTGAATAAATAATGTAGGTAGGTCTATCAAATGCTATGTTTGCGTGCCTATGAAAGAAAGGAGGTTCAAGATACTTTCCCTTTCTTCTCTGTTACCTGGCCTCTGTTCTACACTTAAGAGTATTAGGGACAAGGTCTATATTGGTATGGAATGGGATGGACCTTGGGGTTGCTTACAGATAAGCATCCATGCAGAATGAAACAGGACACGTTCAAGCATGTGTTTAACTTTCTCACTAAAGACTGTAAGACTCCAGGGGTTAATTTTGGCTGAATGATTTTACATCTGAATAATAACATTTTCATCACAACAAGAGAAGGTTCAAAATTTCAGCTCTCCCTCCTCCCAAAGCTTGAAAGAATCCTTACATTTACAGTGTTGGTGTGGATAAGAAAACCAAGAAGTTTTTTTGCCTCTCAAAAGGGTATTTTCATTGTCGGTTTCAGACGAATGGATGCCTGGATTCCTTCCAAATAAAAAAGGGGGGCTGGCTGTGACTATTCTCTTTTAAGATAAGGAATTTTGATTTTTTTCCAATGTATTTGATCACTTTTAAATTTCCAACCACAAGAGATTGCTGGCTTCTGTATGGGTGGATAAAACAGCTTTACTTTTTAAAAATGAGATGTCTGCTACATCTATGTCAAATCCGGTGCTCATCTGAGGTCCAGTTTCATAGTTATAGTTTTTTTGTTTCAGGGACTGCTATTTTTTGAGTTGGTTTACTGAATGCTGAATGCTGCTATCAGCACAATATACTGGTGCCCACCCAGTGCCTCATTGAATCAGTGGGTTTTATTTGGAAAAGATGTGCAGAGTCATTAAAATGAAAATTGGCACTACGCAACGTTTATAAGCTCAGGTTGTCATCGGATTTATGCAGTACCTACTGTATACTTACAGTGTTAATTGAGAGTTATCCAAGCAGCTAAAGGTTGAACTGGGAAGAGTAAAGTTTACAATTTTTCTACAATACTAAAAGTTATTAAACCATAGTAAAAAGACTACTCAAGTTGAGTTTTAGAAAGATAGTAAACTCTTCTCATTTACGCATTTGTTTGAAATACATGGACGTGGTGGTGCTGCGGGTTAAACTGCAAAGCCTCTGGGCTGCAAGGTCGAAAGATCACCAATTAAAATCCACGCGATGGAGTGAGCTCCCATTGCTTGTCCCAGCTCCTGCCAACCTAGCAGTTCGAAAGCATGTAAAAATGCAGATAGATAAATCGGTACCACCACGATGGGAAGGTAATGGCTTTCCGTGTCTAGTCGTGCTGGCCACGTGACCACGGAAACTGTCTATGGACAAATGCAGGCTCTATGGCTTGGAAACAGGGATGAGCACCGTCCCCTAGAGTCAGATACGACTGGACTAAATGTCAAGGGGAAACTTTACCTTGAACTATCACTCTATCACAAGTCAATTCAATTTTTTTCATTAGTGGTTATGGGGCAAAAGGTGCAAAGTTCAAGTGAATTTAAAGGTATCTTAACTGATACAACAGGACTAAGTTTAGCAGGTCAACACAGAGACAATAATTCATTCTGAGTACATTTGTCATTCTCAGTTTAAAACAAAGTGTGTCTTGTGGCACTGAAAAAATAAAAAAGCAATGAAGCTGTTTTGTCTTTAAGGGCTCTTTATGTTAATCCCTTTAAGGGCCACAAGGTTCTACTGTTTCTGCCTCAACAGAGAAGTAATAGAACTACCTCTCTGGAATTTGCACAAAACAAATGATAAAAAAAAGAGCTGGCAGAAAAACTATGTATAAACCCGATTACATTTTTAGAGTCCTAATGAATGTTTTTAATGACATCTTATCAGGATCACAACTCACCCATGAGAACCTATGTCAGAAACTGACAGAATAGTTTCTATCCACTTCTAAAAATTGTTTAAATTTCTTATCAGCATTAGTTTTTGTTTGTGTGTCTGCATCTCCTTTGTATTTCATAAATAGGGAATATCAGTTATTAATATGCCCTCGTTTATTGTCACTATCCAAGCTACAGAAGAGCTTTTATAAACATCTCCACCTGTGATTAATATATTCCAGCAGGGGGTCCCCAATCATTTCTAAACACCACCAGTAAGTGGAAGAGTTCATTATCATCTGCAGCACTGCTTTAGATCTTTAACAACAGTTGTTCAGGAGCTAAAAGTCAAACTGCATAAAAGACAATTGGCCAAAAGAGTGTAAAAGGGGAAACCCCAGGCTAATTTCAGTATTACAGCAACATGAACAAATAACGAAGAGCTGCTTACCTTCATGCTTATACGTCATTTCTTGGCAGCCAGAAAAATATAAGCATACCAGAGCACACAGGCAGATGAAAAATGAAAAGCACAAGGCAAGAAATATGTACTCCATCTTAACAATGTAGTAACTAAACACGTTGTTTTTGTATCTGGAAGAATACTGTAATAAAATTTTCCAAGCAGCAAATGATCCCTCAAATGCTATACATTACAAATAGCTCCATTAATCCACTAAAAGATAGAAATGGTGGGAAGAGTTTTTACCAGTTTCACTCATAAAAATTCACAAAGTTTAAATAACTTATGAATTAAAAGATAAATCATAAAATTAAATACAATTATTGAGTCTCAAAAGAACTGTGTTTTCTTCCACGGCTACAGTCTACACAAAGACCATCATATTCTGTTGTCTTCCTGGAGATCTATGCTAACTGGGAGAGGTGTGGTACTATCAACAATCCCATGACAATTAAGAGAGACTGAGGAAATCCAGCATAGCAACAGTTACCTGGTGCTCTTAAATACCAGTGAGGATATAATTTCATTGCATCATGCCATCTTTCCACTGACAAGATCTTGTATTTTAAGCTATACAGCCCAAACCACATTATGCCACAAGAAGAGAAATGCAGCAACAGAAAAGGTGTTGGTGAATAAATATGCTTGATGACTCAACTGCACATTGCAAAGGTTTTAAAAAATAAATGATTAGTGCTAAATCCAGATGGCTCAGAGAGAAAACTTCTTGCCAGACACATATAAACCTATCCACCAAAGCTGTGCCGTCACACTCCTGCAAAGCCACCCACAAAGACAATATAACTTTTTTTGTCATAAAACATTTTGCTTCGAATTTTAGCCACCTCTAAAATACCAAAGAAAGTGATATTCTTAAAACCTGATTGTGCTCAAAGAACACCATTTCAATCCATCCTACCATATCAGTTTAACCGTTAAAATAAAACATAGTAAAATAAATTTACAGTATTCTGTTCTTAGTGGAAAGTGCTATACTGAAAGCATCTAATAACACTGTCCCGTAACCCAATTTTTAAAATCCCTAAATTAGGGTATCCTGTCTTCTTTCAAGGCTCCACAAAAAACAAACAAACAAACAAAAACCCCACACACTGACAGATAAACATGGTGCAGATAAAGAGATTTACAATAAATGTATAGTGTCCAAATTCCACTCTCGTCTTACTGTAGCATGCCTCAGAAACTCTTAGTCTCCCATTAGCCCACACTAGCTGACTGTGAATGATAATGAAAGTCGTCATTTATCTAAATCTAGAGGGCCAGAGATATTGTCCAGTATCTCAGTCCTAGTGACAAAGGTTCAGTGTGACAACTCCAATGAGGGTAAAAAGGCTAAGGTATTCAATGCTTTATTATTTCTCTAACTAAATATCTTAGCCAAGTTTTAGAAAACAGAAGGGAAAAATATGAAAAGCAGGACTGGGGGAAGGGACCACCCATTGTTTTACACAGAATGCCATACATGTGACATTCTGTTGCAGGCCAGAGGTTGCCCAAGACAATTAGCTCCTGGTTTTTACCAGCTGATCTGAAGATGCTGTGAGGAGCAGAAGCATTGGTAGGTGGAACTCTGGCAACTTGTTAGAGGTATCTCATTCCAAGGGGGAAAGACAATGAAGGTCACAAGGAAAGAGGGCATGGCTCTGATGACAAGGAAACTTATTAAGTTGCAGCTGAACATTTTCTTTGTTATGTTTTCAACTTATTTTTTTTTATTTCTAAAAGTATCTCAGCTTCTCATGGAAACAGCCTTCAAGTCCCCTTCACAGTTGTTGTTGATGATGAATGTGTCAATTTATCAGCCTTTTTTCTTTTGAACCCCCTCAGAGTGCCTTATGGTATCCAAGTATACAAAAGTTTAAAACAATAATAAATCCAATGTATCTGTAGAGCAGAGCTACATCTCTTCCAAAGAGTGAATGTCTCAACTTAAAGGTCTACTCTTTACAGGACAAAATCCTAAAAATAAATTTCATTCCCAAAAAAATCATTAACAGTTCTCACCTTCTAGAAATGTTTGAGGACAGCTAAAATGGCTCTCTGCCCTTGATAGAAGCAAGTTTTTGCTCCATTAACAAATGGATTTGGTCTACTTTTTAATAAAATGCACCAGAATCCTATTGGGTATTTATGCTGACGTAACTGTAATTACATAAATAACAGCAGTCAAATGTGACTAATTAAAAACTTACTGCTCCTATTCCTGGTCATGCACCAAACCGCACAGTTGGTTATACAATCAGAATTGGGAACAGCAATCCATTAATTAGTGGCAATTCACTGCCACAATTTACAAAACTCTGCTAATACCGGTGTACATCACTATAATGTAAACCACTATATGGTTCATACTTGATAAAAATACCTGCCAGTTTAAGAACACGGTTAAAGCTATTTCCTGTTTATTCATGCTGACCTAGGCAATCAGAAGATATGTTTGATATCTGAACAGACATGCACCAGGAACATCCTGGCCCTGTGCTCCATGAGCAGTGTCACAAATTATTTATTTAAAATATTTTTACTCTCCCTTTCTCCTTAAAAGGACCCAAAAAGACGTTACATCATTAAAAATACAGTATTTAAAAGCTAAAAACCGTAAGTATACAAATATTTTAAAAATAACTAAACAAGTATTATATACAAATGTTAAATATAATCAATACTAAAAACACATTTAAAAGCAACACAGCAGAACAATCCACTTTAAAAGACCCTCTCAGACCACCAGTCACTAAGGAAAAGCCTCCTTGAAGAGAAAGAGCCTGCTTAAAATTAACCTTACACATTTTACCTTGGACTTTCTGACTCAAGCCCAGATTGGGGGGGGGGAAGGGATACTGGGGAACAACATTCAATCCCCCTCTTCTCAATTTGGGGCCTGAAAGACCCACTAATTGTCTGGTCTTATACTGCCTTATGAAACAGCAGAGCCTTACTGTTTTTTTTCCAGAGGAATCCTTCTGTGAACTCAGCTATTTTCCAAAGTTATTCTGCACCTAAGTATCCACTATAATAGACCTAGATGGAGGAAGGGGCATTTCCAACAAGACAATCGTTTTAAAATTGTTAGCTGCACTGACAGCGCTCTGACTTTTCTTACATAAATAATTAAACAGATCCTTACCAAGGACAGGCAATACCAAATACACAGGGATACTTCAGCTTATTTATAGCACAGTTGTGGGCATGTCTGCACAGAAGTTGAGTAGGGCCTATTCCTGGTAAGCAGATATGGTATTTCTGCATTAGTTGTGTAAAACAGAATATAACAACACAGTACCACCACGTCATCAGTAATATTTTTAAGGTTCCATTGCAAACCATATATCCAACATCTACATGTTTAAAATGGTAGTGGCTAACAACTGAGAAGAAATCTGTCTTTTTACAAACATCACTCACCTTTGGGGGTTTCAAACTTTTCCTTCTCTGTTTCTTGGAGTGTAACCATTGTTCCCGTTCCTGTAGCAAATATATACATATATTAAGTCTATATACTACAGATTTGTCTTTTTGTGTATACCTAAAATTACTGTACACACACATGTTTTTTTGGATAGTATACAAGAGGCAATGCAAAGAACAATCATTGTGTACACTTGAGTCACACCATGCCACTGAGGAAAAATGAAGTTCCTTTATTTCCCTTTTAGATGATGCATTCTTTTGTAATACTTTCCATGTTTGAATATCTGAGGGAGGGGAAACATTATGTCTACAATGCACACACAAGACGTCTGTTGACACATAAAATGTTTGAATAATTTTCAGGGTACCTTCCTACACACACACACACACACACACACACACACACACACACACACACACACACACACACAAGCAAGAGGCTTACGGTAGGTATCTTGGGAATGCCTTCTTTTTCAAGGGAAGGACATTGCACTGTTGACTAGAGTCAAGATCCTGCCAGCTAAAGGCCAACAGCCATCCTATGGTGTTTGCTGGTCCCACCAAGGCCTTCACTGAAGTCCAGCAGACACAACTCAAACCAATCTTCTGTAGCAGTCCAGCAACTTCCACACTAAGCACCTTCATAGCTGCCAACAGTGGCCAAGCAGGACGATGCCAATAACCTCATGGACTCACCCTCATCATGGCCCCAAAGGGTGTGGCAGTTTGGGGCAAAGCCCAAGTGAATTCCAAGATGCTACCAAAGAAAGGTCACTTAGCCAAGACAAGAGACAAAGAAAGAGCAAAACTCCTCAAACCGAAAGCCCAGCACCAGTTATACCCCTTTCCCTATGATTAAGTTGGGCAGGATCTTCTCATAGAAGTACCATAATGGCCAGATGGGATGCATCAAGACCAAAAAGGCATGTCTATAGGCAAAAAATAAAACTGCCAATATCATTATGGATTGGTACAGCATTTGGTCCAAGTGTTCCCTTTACAACATCCTCATGTCACCACCTTTTTCTCCTTGGAAACATGCCTGATCTGGGCAACTGCATTTTGAATACACTACCCTGTGGAGAAGGGATGGTTCTGCATGCTGACACCTGCGACCAAAGCAAAGGTTGCAGCAACAAAGACTCTTCCCTCAGTCTGCTGGCTCTTCTCCCATGCTGCTGCTTCTTCAACTAGAGACAACAGATTTCTCTTTAAGAGCAAGAGGAAGGGAGGAAAGGCAGAGAGAATCTCCTTGCAACTACAGAGGGGAGAGACAGGCTTTGCCAAAGCAAGGTATCCTTTATTTGGAGCAACTGACCACATGCCACTACAAACATATACCCAATGGAACAAGGAGAGTTTGAATCTGAAAAACTCAAGTAGCGTTACCAATGTGAGATCATCAATAAGATGCTGTTGTTCTATGATTTTCAGCTTAAGAAATTCAACTTCTTTTCCTTCATGTGTGCTCCTGAGGTCATTCAGTGAAGTGTGTCTTTTCAAAGTTGGCTGAGCAGACAACTTTTCTTTCTAAAAAAAAGAATTTTATTAATACAACTAGATATGACATGTATACAGTATGTATGCATGGTGACAGCCTATATAGTGTTTGCTATTATCTGTGGTGTGTGTGTGAGAGAGTTGTTGTTGTTTAGTCATTAAGTCGTGTCCGACTCTTCCTAACATCAGGGTCTTGAGAGAGAGAGAGAGAGCATGGTAAAATGGGGAAAAATTATTTTTCACATGGTTGTGACCAGCTCAGTCTGGCTAATCACTTTTTGCCTCTTCTTTTCACTGGGCTAACCGTAAGTCCCAAATTATTTGGGCCAAAGCAGTTTTAAATTGAAAGGAGAAAAACGAGTTCTTTATTTAAAAAGCTTAATGGTTACAAGGAACATTCTAAAATTTAAAGATAATAGAAGTAAACCTTCTAAAGCTAGACGTCTATCTTTCTCTGATACAAAGTTAATTACATTGTGCATGTTCCTGGAAACCTTTATCTCTTGTCTATACTGTAGTTACAATTTACAGTAACTACTTTTCTCAGTTCTTTAACAATTTCTGTAAATGTAAATCTTTCTCTCTCAACCTCTTTTTTCTAACTGCTCTCATCTCATCTCTAACCACCCATCTCTAACTGCCATCTGGCCAGCTCTTCTTTTTGTTATAGGCCCTCCTGGCCTTGATTGACTCTCCTCCAGATTATTTGGGCCTCTCTCAGCTTGATGTTACCTCAGAATTGTTCATGGCAATAAAATTGAGAGAAGGGGGTCATCCATGTATGTTGCATTAAACTCAATATAAGAATGGTACAATAGATATGAAACAAATTAAAATAACCCATGTGGTTCAGATTATTGTGCTTGCCACTGTATTTTCTAAATATGACACATTTTAAACAAATATCTTCAAGGGTTTAGGGGACATATCGAGACTCAGCATAGGAGATCTGGGTTGTCATTTTTTGTTGTAAATTCTATGTGTGTTACTACTATTGTTGCTGTCAACAGTAAGTAAACATACTGTTTATTTCACTACTCTTGTTGTCTGCATGTTCAACCTGATAAAAGAAGCCTGGTTTTAAGGAACTGCCATGTGTTAGTGTTGGCTAATACGAAGGCTACAATTTAAGGAAATGGGCTGCCACAGGATCCATAAGTGAAAAAAGGTTGTGAATCACTGCTATAAACAAACACCATTTTAGCTCAGTTTGCAAAACAAACAAGATGGGGGTTAATATAAATATGTTTTCAGACAAGGTCCTGCTGCAGGTGTCTATAGGTATGGGTTTATGAGTCCAAAAAGTCCAAATGACGCATCCCTATTGATGCCTGTTCCAACCCAACCAATAGGTCATCAGCTACCTGAATGGAATAGCTGGCTAACTGCCCAAGTAATGACTTTAAAATTGTTTAGAGAATGAGCATACTAGTGTTGTTGTTTACTATATTCTACATATGGGCAAAGTATGAAACACACTTTCAATAACAGCGATGTGATTACTGGGTAGTAATAGGGAAGCAGAAAAAAAGCTTTGTGGGAATAGGCATCAGAACTGATAAATGAAATGTATTCACTATTATTACTGAATTTTTAAAATTACTAATGGGAAAGCATACAATGCAAACAAGATTACTGGTCTATGTTCTGGTGCAGCCATTTTGGGCTGGAAAGAAGTGTAGATGTTAAATATTTCAATCAAACGTGCTTTTAAAAACTTATAACTATTACCTGAATATGCCCTTAAGCATTAAGAATTATTGATCAGAATCTGGGATGAGAATACAGCTCACCAATTCCATATTTTCTCTGCAAAGGTTCTTAATCTTTTCTTCCATTTGTTGAATACTCTGAAGCAGGTTTTCATTCTTTTTATTCATTCTTTTATTTTTTTCCACAAGAGGCTTAATTTGTATTTCTGTCTCCCGTAACCGTTTTAACTACCAGAGAGAAAAAAAGGGGGGGGGGAGGAAAAAAATTAAGCAGACTGAATAAATTCTTCTTGGATCACTGCAGTCTATTATTTAGGGATGTGCACTAGCACCACAATTTGAATTCAGAATTTGAAATTACAACTATTCTGATTTGGAATTTTTGAAATTTGAAAAGCGCTTTCTGGGAATCTACAAGAGATGGTACTTGTCCTTACATTCTGCTTTTTGGTATCTTAAAGGTATCTACTTAGTCACTTCCAGAAAAAAATGCAGAGGCAAGGACGTTCCTATGGGAGAAACTGGACAAACAGATAAATGATGCCCATAATCAGTAATCTGAGAGTCTTGTTCTGTTTTTTTTTTTTTAACTTAACACTAACAGCTAAGAGCTTCTCTGGGTGCTAGAGGATGTGGTTTTGCGGGAAAGCTTCAAATGGAAATCCCCATGCTTAACAATAGCTAGAGATATGAAATATGTAGTTCATTATCAGAACTCAGGACAAACTCAAGTATACATATTTATTTCTTTTCTTCACATGTTTCACTTTGATAACCGACAATTCCCCCAATATATTTAATGTTAGATGGGGTTAATCACAGTTCTGACTGGAGCATGTTATACTATAGTTTTTATGAAATGGTACAAAAGATTGAAAGACAGACCAGGAAGTGTGCTTCTTGGGGACTTTTTTTATTCCATACTCTGTGATTGCACCTATTGGTTACCAAGTAAAAATTAAACTGTCTTCTTTTTTTAAAAGCTGGCTCAGCTTTCTTTTCTTTCTTTTTTTTTGCAACAGTCTCACCTTCACCAGAGAAAGTACTCAAGTGTGGTCATTTTGGCCAGAACAGTTCCCCATTCACGGTGCAACTGATTATAGCAGCTAAGAGTGAGGCCATAGATAGCAGCATTGCTTCTACGAGGGGGTGCTGATAATTATTGAACCTTTCCCAGAAAAAATTGAGCTAGGAAGCTATGCATTGCAGGGTGTATTGGCCAATTTGTCTGTATTCAATGGTGCAAAAATCAACTACCTATGATTTTAACTTATCTTTCATGTTCAGGTCCAAAGTGATCATGGCGCCACCTCCAAAAAAGTTCATTGTGGAAGAGCATAGGATCATAATCAAGTTCCTGTTTCTCCAAGGGAAAGGTGCAAAGCAGATCCATGATGAAATGTCACAAACTATGGGTGACAGTGGCCCTTCATATGCAACAGTTAAACGTTGGGTTGTCAATTTTAAAACTGGCCATTACAGTGTGGAAAGTGAGTAACCCAGTGGAAGGCATGTTTCTGTCTGCGTGCCTGCAAATGTGAAAGCCATCCATGACATGATCATGGAGGACCGCCGAACATCAGCTAAAAGTATTGCTATATATCTGAGAATATCACGTGAGAGAGTTGGTGCCATTATCCACAGCAATTTGGAAATGAGAAAGCTGGAAGCAAAGTGGATCCCTAACCTTTTGACAACCGAACAAAAGAGGAAATGTGTGGAGTCACCGGTGGCTATTTTGGAACATTTTGCAAGAAATGAGTCAGATTTCCTGGGCAAACTGGTAACCGGTGATGAGACATGGATCTACTGTTATGATCCTGAGACAAAGGAACAGTTTAAGGAATGGAGGCACAGTGGTTCCCCCAGACCAAAGAAGTTCCGAGTGCAAAAGTCGGTGCAGAAGCAAATGGCAACAGTTTTTTGGGATAAGAAGGGAGTTCTGCTGGTGGACTACCTCCAACAGGGTTCAACCATCAATGCAAAATATTACTGTGCTTTATTGACGAAGTTGAGGCAAAACATCAAGGAAAAACATCGAGGAAAGCTCTCCAAAGGTGTCATCCTGTTGCATGACAATGCCTCGTCACACACTGCAGGTGAAACAATGACAAACCTGACCTCCTTAGGCTTTCAAGTGATGCCCCATCCACCCTATTCTCCCAACCTGGCTCCTTCTGACTACCATCTGTTCCCCAAACTCAAAAAAAAAAACACCTAAAAGGACAACGATTTGGGAGGGTTCTGGAGGCAACTAATGCTGCAACTGAGTGGTTACACCACCAGTCAGAAGAAATTTATTTGCAGGGACTTAAGAAGCTGCAGGACAGATGTCGCAAGTGCATCGACTTCCTGGGGGAATATGTAGAATGGTGTGGCAGTTACAGCTTCCTAGCTCAATTGTTTTCTGGGAAAGGCTCAATACTTATCAGCACCCCCTTGTAGTTGGGGTGAGAAAATGAGGCAAGGGAAGCATGGGTCATTTCAGGCATATCTACAGAATCTAGTTGGAGTTTTTAAGAGTCTTTCTCAGCATTGCTCAATAGAGTTCTTGCTTAACGAACGCCTGTGATACTTAAAAGGTAATACAGTCTCTACTTCTGGCAGCCTTTTCTCAGACCTGATAATCCTCCCTAATGGGTTAAAGGAGTATCTGAGCCCTGATCGGAGACTTCTCTTCACCCCTCCCAAGACCAAGGGGTTGCAGAGGCCAGTTTAAGTAGCTGAGACTGCCACTCTAGAGGCTCTCTATCTATATCAGTGCCCTGAAAACAAATGCAGACACACACTACTTGTGTTTTGCCTTGATTCTTGATCTTGGAGTGGTGAATTCTAGAGCAATTCCAATTCCTGTGCTTTTGCCATGCCTACTCAACAGCTGGGAAAAAGAAACTGAAAATGACTGAGGATTGGTGGTGGTGGTAGGAGCTGGTATGAGACGACAGTGCTTGGATAGGAGAGACCACCAGGAAATAATAAATGCATCTCTAGGTGGGACAAGGAAAGAAACATGTCCAAAACCCTGGACATTTGCTGCTTGTCAAAGTTGATAATACAGTACTAGCCTAGATGGACAAAGGGTCTGAATCAATCTAAGGCAGCTTCCTATTTTCTTATGTTCGCTCTGCACTTCTCTGACCAAGAATCTAATGCTACTTTTAACACCAACTGTAATGCTTTTTTCCAAAAGAAACACAGTTATTTTATTATGGTATGTGTCAGGATAAATTTGTATTCAGCTTCACCCATGCTGCTGAGGGATCTGAATCTCCCTGCTTAAAAAGGGTCTTTTGCTCAAGAATTTGGACTTTCCTAAATCAACAGTGCCCCATTTGCCTCCAAAACAGAAGAATCTATCAGCATTTTTATTCAGTACCTAATTGCTTCTGAAATATTGTGGTAGCTGATAATGGCCAAAGTTAATGTGTCTTTTACTGTTGCTTTGTTAATTACTTTACCATTTCATTCCTTTCATCCACTAAAAGTGCATTTCTGTCTTCTAATTTCCGAATTACAGCACTGAGTTCTGTTATTTTAAGCTGAAATCTCCGCACGTCTCGCTCATCTGGATGTTGCTCCTTTAAAGTAAGAGTTGGATTAAATCATAAAACAGTTAAGAATTTAATTATATAGAAAAGTGTGCTCTAGTATGTAAAACTGCATCAAAGAGTGAACTTTGTGAAAATTCACAAACTCTACTAAATATTTCGAAAAGTATCATAAAACTACCTAAAACAGAATATGACAGTAGAACAAAAACATGTTGCACAAACTTAAAACTAAAATTAATTAGACAACAATTTAAATCATCTTGCACAGGTATAATAATTATGTCATCAACCTGCAGTGTTACTCTTTAGTTTAGTTTAAACCTATTTTAGTCATTCAGCAATAGGAGCCTACAAGGAGGAACACCTAGAGGATGCAAAACATGGACTTGATTCTTTAAGGATTCATTCTTCCAACTACTGAGTACAGCAGCACAATTTTTGTGGGCTAGAGCTGAGTATGCCTGGGTCCTGGACCTGTGAATAACAGCACACTGACACAACTCTGGAAAGAAAAAGAACACAACTTCATTTGTTACAGCAGCAGCTTTTCTGGCGCCAGCATTCCGAGTGAATCCAGTGCATCGAGAGACCCAACTGCCTCTAGATACCATCAATATCCTTCAGTAGTTGACCGAGGTTCCACATGAGGGATGACATACACCACTCTGTGGCCCCTGCCACGTGGTGACGGAGGTGGGCCCCTGGCCCCTGAGCTAGGCCAGCCCACTGTTGGATGGTCAAGCAATCTAGATGTAAATTTCAAAGGGGAAGGGCCTGCAACACAAAATA